GACCTGATGAAAGTATCAGTCACGTCTGTTGTTTTCTTCTCACTTTTTTTTTCCCTCCTCAATGCAGATCTATCCAGATCGGTTCACCTAAGTGTGTGCATAAGAGTGCAAAACTGCCACCTGCAGTCACGAGAATATGAGTAACTTTCTGTGCTTATATGCTGGGGTAACATGAAAGTGATTTAAAGGAAATCTCAACGTTTCATATTTGATGTGAAGGAGCAGGTTTCATCAGGGGCGGTTGCACTGCAATATAATATACACTGCATAACAAATTCAGTAGACCATGCACTGTAAGTTTTATGCCACATCCTTCCTAAATTAACAATATTGGTAGTTATCAAAATAAGTCTTGTGTTTCTGTAATAATTGATAAAGCAGCATGTTGATGCTTTTCAGCCAAAATGATCATTTTGATGATAATGTATCATTTTAATTGTTACCAAAGCATTTACAGATATACTATTTAAAAAAAAGATATTTGTAAAAATGATTATTATCTCTTTATTAAGATGTCAAATGATATTGACCTGAACAGAGAAGATGGTTTTAGTGCCCAAATGTTTAAAATCCTCTTTGCTGGTCAGGATGACAGAACATAATGAGGGCACTGAAACTGTAGAATTCAGTTATTGATGCTGATAAGGGTCTATAAGGAAAACAAAAAGTGTGAATCAAGTGTGCCTTTGAGTCCACAGCAGATATCAACAAAATAAGCAAGGTAAGCGTAAAAAGTTGACCGCAGCAGATTTCAGAGACCTCAAGATATTAGTATCTGAGACAGAGGGAAGGCCACTGCTGACCCTCAGGCAAAGCTTTTTGTTCATACTTTGAGAAAGTTTTAGAATTAAATGTAAGTAGATTACTGATGGAAGGCTTAAAGGGAAAATAGCTGTTAAGAAGCCACTACTGGGGCTTAATTATAGACTTTTGAAAGATTTCTTAATGGATTTGTTGTTTTTTTAACAGGTGGTCTAATGAATTTGTGAAGCACTGTGATGAAGTTGCATCATCACTACACACGAGGCAAATCGATGACACAACGTGCCGCTTTTAACTTGTTGTTCTATACACAAGCTCCTTCATAATTAATTTCTGAATTATTTACAAATATCCTCCATGCTACTGATCTGTTTGGCTTAAAGATCCTCTATAGGGCAGGGAGTGCGTTTAGCGGCCGGGGTTTGGAGCTGCAGCCGGAGGCCGCTAAGCTCTTTGTGACTGTGTCTCAGATTGTGTACGACAACACACTGCTGCTACCACAGGAAAGCAATCCCCCGCTTCTCGTGTTCCCTCGCTCCGTTTTGCCACTTGCAGTGTTTGTCCTTACGCAGCCATCTGTCCTCCGCCTATGTGTTTTGTGTTCTGTGTTGCTGAGCAAACATTAACAAGCCTCATTGATACAGTTTTTTAAGCCTAAACCCATGAGCCAAAATGTTTCAAAGCCATAGTTTACAAGGCACATTTACTTAAGATCGGTAATTCTACAAAATATGTAAAAGATGTAAAAGCAATCCCTGAGCAAGTTATCAGGTTTTAGTTATTTGATCAGTGAGCTTCGGACTGATTTTCACCCTGACTTTTTGACCGTAACAGTGAAAAACACATGGAAATTACACCCCCACCAGTGTGGCAAACACAAGACGTTAAGTCAAATGAGTGTTTTAATAGAAAAAGATCAAAGCTTGAACCTCTGTTTAGCAGGAGTCAGAACTAATCAGAGTTCTTTTTTGCTTGGTAGAAATTTGAAAAACGATGGGAGCAGTAAGCTAAAGTTTGATCACACCCATAGCACTGGATCAGACTAAAGAGCATGTAACACCTCTGACCGGTCCACCCTTTAATCCCCATTAAATAATTGGAAGAAAATCTTGTTTCCTCTGTCATGAGCATGCAACTTCACTACATGATGCAATTTTCTGAATCATTGTCACCTATAATATTTCTGTGTGACCCCCTCAACATGGTCTAGTAAGTAGAAAGTGCTGTTGATCGTCGAACTATGATGACTAGCACAATAATCTAACAAATACAATCCAAAATCTATTATAGCGAAATCGAAAAAGAATGAGATAAAGGTTCACTTTCTATAAACCTGATCACAATTAGGAGCAGTGTTTGTTAACAGAATCATGGCTTTCACAAACAAGATGCCTTTTTCTGAAGGAATGAGTGACAACCCCACACATAGAATTCTCTAGACCCTTATCAGGCTATACAAAAACTTACAAATTGAATTTTTGTGTCTCCACTTTATTTTTGGAGCAGTCAATAAGTTTTGGCTTTTTATTTCCTTTTTGAAAAATTGTGAATACAATAGCAGGAAGATTCAAAGGCAAACATGAGACAAGTCGGTACTTAGAAGGCTAATTTAATTTAACAAGTCTGTTACATCAAAACATTTTTACAGAAGCCTCCAAATGAAAGAACAAAATGGCAGATCAAGATTCCAATCTTCAACCAATCACCCGAGGCCATGTATTTGATCATTCAGGCAATTAATCAGATAACATGGAACCTTTCAAACTAAACATCAAACAAGAATCAACCACCAGAGAAGCAGAAAATTGCCTAATTAAAAAAACTGTCAGTAGTGGCATGTCACCAATAATTACACAATAGAAGATGGCGGGAATAAATAGCAAAAATACATTAAGTTTATCTTGGCCTGAAGCATCTGTTTGTTTTTCCATTGTCAGTGTTGTCATCCTACATCCACCGTTAAAGACCAGTTTTTGAATGGAGCAGCTGTGCGTGAAGAAGTGTTCATATCTCCTAACCAAGATCTCCTTTAAAGCTTAAAAAAAGGAAAACAACCCATTTAAAAGGGGAACTGAAAATGGGTTGGCAAACCAAAGACACTTTTTAAAAAACTGTAGAAAGATATCATGCATGCTATTAACTATGGTTTTGAGTGGGGTGTTCAGGCAAGATATATTTGCAAATGTATTCACATTCATGCTCCTGAAAGATTCTCTGCAAGGCTACTGGCATCATATAAGCATAAATAAAGATAGAGATTTTTTTAAAGCTTAAGTAAACAGAGAATATGCAGTGAATAACTTTTTACCCCACTATCAAACCAAGCAGTCTCACTTAGTCTGACTTACTGGACATGATTATAAAGTTTTTCTGCACTGGGAATGAGCAGCATTATACCAGATCAAGGAGTGACACCAGAAGTTAATTAAGACACTGTTTACCTGTTAACATAAAACACTGCTCATCTTTGTAAGATGTGCAGCAGTAACATTTCTCCCTGACAACATCCAATTAAATTGAATGAGAGGTTTGTCCTTGCCTCTTGACTTTAAATCAGACAATATACATAAAAGGCTTCAAAAGGAATGAATTGAATCTCATCAGTTACCCATAAAGGATGAAGGCTTTTTGATATTTGCATCACAGAACGAGCATGTGCAAAACACTGAAATGAAAAGCGAGAGGAGAGGTTGAGTAACATCCAGGTTTAACTTAAAAATGAAAGCAAGGACTTTCAGAATAGATTTTTAGATTATTGTGTTGACAGACTTTGTAGCTTGCAAAAGTTGTATACATTATTTGAATTTTTTTCCACAGTCCCTGAAAGTGGTCCAGATCTGCTCTTCTTCAGGTTTTCTGAAGGTCCTTCACAGTTTTGTGTCTTTTATGAATATTAGTCAAGTACTTGCATTGAAACATTTCAAATAGTTTTCTGAAGCAGAGTTTCATTAAATAAAAGGCACAGAAGACATTCAGCTGCCCTTTGTGTCTGACCAAGAGATTTGACATAAATATAGGCTCACAGGACCAGGAAGAGTTTTCACTCATTTAAACACAAAATAACAGACTTTAATTTCTTGGTCCAAACACAAATATATCTCTCCTCAATTAAATAAGTATATTTTGGTTGAATGTTCATACTGAGTTATGCTATTAGATCAGGAATGTCAAAGCCAACATCAGCTTTGGGAGTATTCCTAATGTTAGTGGGTATTTCTGCTGTAGAGGTCTGTGTTGTGCAGATGGCTGTGCATTCTGTTTTCACTCCCCCTCCAGAACAGAGCGGTAGGCTGATCTGTCGTCCCTCAACATGACTGATTTTTTTATATAGAGTATTGAGAGGTTCACAGTCTTCTTCATAACACACAAACACTTACATATGCGCCACATATACATCGAAACTCGATTTCCAACCATCCGGTTTTTAATTTTCTGTTGTGACCTGGATCAGCATCGTGTTGTTTCGCCCACTCTCTCTGAAGGTCCATGTCAGGCTGCTCTGACATGACTGTGTAGGATTTCTTACTGCAATTCTTAATTCATAATCTATCTCAGAGGTCTCAACAATTCCAAAATAGTTAGTCAGAACATGCATAAAAATAATGGCAATCCCTTAACCATGTTTCACAGGCATCTGTGGAACATTGTCTAAGATGTGATGTGGAATAAGACAATTTTATTTCTTTTTAATCCAAGTTGGTTTTGTTTACAGAAGGCCCCATCCATGATTTTTTTAAAACGTAAGAAATAAAACGAACAAATAAAAGTGGGACTTTAATCAATCTGAAGGCAGAAGAAATTATCTCATTCCATTTTAGCGAAGCCTTTGTCGACAGAATAAGGCAGATTGTGTTGATGCCAGTTTTTTGGTTTTGTATGTCGGTTTGGGATGTGCAAAGCACTGTATATTGTTCTATGTACATTTTACAAAAAGTCCCAATGGTTTGGGAGTTGTGATTTTGTGTCCTTCTTAAATTGTTTTCAGACTATATGCATTATAGGGGATAAACATTACGAAATAAAGAGATTTGCAGTCTACTCTACTATCTTGCAAGTATGACACAAATGTCAGTCTGGAGTCAGTGGAGCTTAACATACAGCATCGTATATAAAATGAAACTGAAATGAAGTCACAGTTTGAACCAAGAGGTGTTGTTTATCTACGCTTTCTGCTGACCCTGACGACATGGCTTGGGGGGGTTTGTTTCCAGAGAATTGTCTGTAAGTCAGAGACAGTGGGACTTACAGCGAGGTGATCAGAGCTGCTGCAGATCATTCAGGGCAGAGACCACCTGAGAGATCTTATCCAATGGCAGCTTTCTGCCACGAATGTCGTTATCTGTCATCTCTAGGCTCTGGAAAGAAGAGAAAAAGCCAATTGGTTTTGTGAGATTAAAAACCTGCACCCAGTGACCAGAAGCCACACCCCCCCCACACCTTGCACGATGACATTAAATAGAAAATGGCAGTGTTCCCCCGAGAAAAAAGGGCTGTCTGAAGAATGCAAAATTGATTCACAAGGAAGAAAGATATGTTTAAAGCACTGTTTTTTCTTTGTAGATCTGAACCATGAAGAATAGAAAAAATACTACTGCAATTATAACTACCGGTAAATCTGCTGCTCTTTTTGATTTGTTTTTGTTATGGGGGAAATGAGCAGTCATTGCCATTCTTTCATTCATACCTGTGAAAGAATACAGCCTCATAACAAAATGTGTAATAGTCATGTTGATTCACAGCACAGAATGTTTGGAACAGACATTCATTCATTCCTTGTCTGTTTAAAGAAATGCAGCTTCCATCAATCTATGTCATCCCACTGACACTCAATGTCCATCATCGCAATGATGATTGACTTCTCACTGAATGATGATTAAAACATTCAGCACTGTTAGTTTGGCCATAAATTAGGGGTGGTCGGAGTCTGGTTTGATATGACATTTTCCACCAGTGTTGAAGCTTAAAGTTCTGATCGTACTAAGTTGTTAGAAATGGATTGTTCAGGATCAGTTGCATCCATCGCATTTTCACCGAATGTGTCCATGTCCTGTAAACTGAACTAGTTGTTCAATTAAATTAAATATGCAAAAAAACTTTAATGAAAGTGACTGTAGATCAAACATAAATTAGATCAGACATGACATTAGATTGTAGATTTCCCTTAAGGTTGTGAACTGGTTGCCAAGCTCTGATATAATATTCACAGAAAATAGCATGAAATATTCAACAGCTTCTTTTCATTTGAATTATTATGTTCCTGTGGATAAACATACACAAGTGTGCATAATTGGAAGGGAAAAAAAACAAACATGTCAAGTAGAAAAACTAAATATACAATGTACCGAATAGCACTCAAATCATTTAGATAACATATCTTCTGATTTAGTGAAAGAACCACCCTTTTTTTGTTTGATAACTGATGTCGTCACAGTGAAAGGTTGACAAAAATGCTCTGCCAAAGGGGTAATGAAAAATAATCTTAGATGTTTTTCTTGAGACGTTCAGTTGCAAAATCTGTAGCCAACACAGTCAGTCACACTTAACAACCCTGGAGCGGGCAGATCTTTAGGTCCCTTGCAACGAGAAAAAAAAAATAAAAGTGCAGCGGCTCATTTCCATCTGAGATGACAGGTTTTGACAAGCCTCTGAGGCTCTACAAGAACAGTTCCAGCCACACCAGGAACCGGCCAGCTGTCAGCTATTAAGTGAAAAGAAGGAGAACAGCAGCTGTGTGGACGTGTTGCAGAATTCAAGTCTCATTGGGGCTTATTGTTGCTGCTATTATGCTAGATCACAAATTCAAGTATTATTGAGTTGCAGCTTCGTACAGGTCATGGTTTTAATTAAGGTGGATTTACTATGCTGCCGCATAATGTCAGCCTTTACTGGCGGATCAATTGGAAGACATTCTAAATTGGTTTGCTATTTTATTCTCCGTCAAGCACCGAGATTAATGTGAAATCATCCTCTTTTGTGGAAATATAGAAAAATATGCAGGAAAAATCCTGTAAGGGCATAAAAACGCAAAGAGCTGTCAGAAGTTATTTGCCTTTAAAATAATGGGTGAAGATTAACCACAAATAGGACCTGACATATGTCTAAAAAAGTGTCCTCATAACAGTAAAGATTTGGGAAGTGTTTATTCTCTTTTCTGGCCATTTCAGTTGCTAGTACTTTGCAAAGCTCTCTGCTGCATCGCTTACCCATGAATGAAATGTAATCTGTTGTCATGGAGATGGCTCATCTAACATACAACCAAGTAAACAATGGTTTGTTGTCTTTGGTTGAAAAATACATTGTGTATCTATCAAAAGGTCAGCAGTAGACTGTCATGCAAAAAAACAAACATCAGGTATTATGTATCTTTCATGGTTGCAGTAGTAGATATTCTATTCTAAAATCTAGCAACACAAGAGCACTACATGTCCTGTTTAAGTGCATCCATTTGAAAATGTTCACTTCGTTCATGGATCAATGTAGAAAAACACAGATTGCGTACACATCAACACAGAATAACTCGATCAATTCAGATGTGCCCCATGGGAGTTAGAGTCAGCTTCAGCGGGCTTTATCACAGAAGCCAGACTCATTTTATGTAAATAAACAGCAGTGTGTAAAGAATACTGACAGAACAGACAACGCAAATTGGCTTAGGCTTATGACTGAGACTGCTTTTGCTGATAAGAGTCACAATGCAGTTGCAAGATGGATTCTGTTTCAGTTGTCACAGAAAAGGCTTCATTTTGATTGGCTAGCAAATTGAATCTGAGTATCACACCAGCTCAAACACAATTATACTTTCACAATCAAAGTCCAAAATATGTGAAAAGACATGTAAAAAAAAAAAGCATGCTTCAATGCTTTAGTAATTTCAGTCAAATCAACTTTGTGTTTTTACATGTTTAAAAATGACACACAGTGAAGTGTATACTTATTAATGCTGGGATCTGGCAATGAATCCATGTCAAATAAAAGATATCTCAGTTTTATTTGTTAAACAAATAATCATTTTTTGGTTGGAAGTTTATCTTTTTCCTCTGGTGCATTTGTTTTTTCACAGAGCTGGAGAAGGAAAAGACAAAGTTGTTTTGCTCTGTGGATCAAAAAAACAACAAGACAGATTAGTCTGTGATCCTTTAAGCCAAAAATCGTTTTCTTAAATTCTTGTTTGATTCTTAATGAATTGGTGAACAGCCACTAATACATTTGTTCTTGGCCAATATATAAAATCAATTTTTTTTGGGTTGACCTGGTTTGTTTGTTCTTTCAACGCAGGTCATTACAAAAATGCCATAAAGCTTTGATAGCATTCATCAAATATTTTGCGGTTGCCTTGGCACTCTAAGTGTGTGTCGGTTACCCCTGGAAGAAATATAATCAGTGCTTTTAATTCAAGGGCCGAACCTGAGAGGTGCTTCATCATTTTTAGTAAGAGAGCAAAGAAACTACTGAGCTACACAGCATGTTATCCAGTGCTATCAGTATGTAGCAGCATGCTTTTTCTACTTGAAGAGAATTCTGTTAAACAGTGTCAGCACCTTAGGGCCATTACGGTTTGTGTGATGAAAAAAAACACTTTTTTATGATTCTATTGCCCAAACTTTCTCTAAAGGTAATAAGATCATCCAGATAGCATTATACATTAAATCAAGGTAATTGGTCATTAATAACTACTAATAGGTTTCTCCTTTCTTCTTTTAATCTCTTTAACTTCCCTCATGAATTTTTCACCCTGTGAAGTTACATCCTCAACTGTCTTCTGAGATAAACTCCATGCATCCCTTTTTCCCTCAGCAGCAGAAATATTCGGATTTAAATTATTCACAGCCCGACAGTGCCAAATCAATAACTTCAGTCATCTCATTTACAAAAAGCTTGAAACACATCCTGTTTTTGACCTGATTAACCCCAAACTGGCTTGCAGGATGGAATCCCCTTGGTGGAATAATAGAATAGAAAACAGAATAAATTCAATCATAAGCAAATGTGGCTGTATAAAGACAGGACACTGACAAAAAAAGAAAAGAAATAATACACAGAAAGAATTTCTTTCATGATAGAGACTAATATATTTGTGAAAACTCCAGAGCTATCTTTTGCTTCTTTTATACTATAGCAAAAGGAAAGATGTCTGCATGTGTAAACAGCTGACTGAACTTTACAAACTCCAAATAATGACTGGAATAAGACCCCAATGCCATAGTTAAAGAGGAAATAGGAGGCAGATGTGTGAAATCCCATGTGAATGAAATAGATGAGCTTGGAGACCTGATAAGGACAAAGCAGAAATACACTGATGGTAAACAGAGAAATATTACACGGAAACTGCAGAGACTATCCTAACATCTCTATCCTTAGCTTTAAGATTATATGGGAGGACAGGGGCAGCAGAGAGAGGCAACAGAGATCAAGGAGGAACTGAATTGCTGGTCAGTAACAGATGGTGTAATCCTGTTTATATTACCGACAAAGATCATCCCTGTACACCCAGAACCCGTGTCCATTTTGTCTTATGGGAAAGTGTTGCTGTTTACCAGTTGATTATGCAAGATTGCACTTATAAGCTATATTATTGCTATTATAAAAACAACCCAATCCATTAACGTTATCTCAAATCCTCTCTATAAAAAGTGGATGTCAACACAAAACTTAATGGAAGTTTCAAAAAGAAAAAGTTAAATATTTGTACAAGAAAACCTTTTCTTTTCTAATTTCTGTGTAACGATGTGACTTATATCTCTACATATGATGACATATATTTGAAATAATTTGCCAAGATGAACTAAAAACTCAACATTAACCTTTTGTCATGCATAATTATATTCCCTTAAAATTTGTTCACACACTGGGTCTGGCACGGTGTTGTAGAATGTCACAGCAAGTGGGTTCCTGGTTTGAATCCCTCAGGGATGGGGGTCTTTATGAATGGAGTTGACATGTTCTTCCAATACACTCTATAGTATATAGTCCAGATAAAGCCTTGTGATCCAAGGCACATAGAATCACAAAAACGTGTATGCACGCATGCATGACTTCTAATGATACAGACTAAAAAAACAGGCCCTGATTACTTTTGAAGTTGGGTAGAATGTCTGCTCAAGTTCTGTCAAATTAGCTAAACTGGTTGGATGGTCCCATACTGTGCAGTCTAACCAAAATGAGCTACCCAGGAGTTATATTTTAAAGGTACTGAAATTGTGTTTGAAATACTGAATATGTTTTATTTTTATGAAAGCCAGGGAAACAAGCCAGAGGCAGCTGTAAAAGTGCCATGCATCACATAAAGGGGAAAACACTTTTATGGCAAGCATTGACTACAAAGGATTCTCAACAAAGTATAAAATAATCAGCATTTTCAGTCAATATTCAACCTTGAAAAGTCTATTCTGTCTTGAAATACTAAACATCTCCTTAAATAGATTCGAATTCAGTGATCCTCCAATTGTTCTCCTGTTTATCATGTAACTAAGATTGGGTTGGGAGGTTACATCATGGAAAATCAAAGTGTACATGTGTCCAAATATTTGCTTTTTTTTATTATCAAGGCCTGGAATCATGTCCATATTGTTGTACAATTCAATTGTAACATTTTGTATGATCTGTATGAACAAATATTTCTAATACTACACATGACTTGACAAGGCTTGAGAGGGCAGGCTACTCTGCCCTGACCCTGAGTGACCGAGAAACTTACAATATTCTCAATGGGTTTCATTTTTTTCCCTTTATTTATTTATATATTTCCCTTGGTATTAAATTAATTCCTTATCTTTTGGTTTAGCTTTAACTGTAAGCTCTAAATCCCCCCCTGCTCCCCTGTGCTGAAGTTCCAGCCCGGCTAAATGTTTCTTTAAACGGCAGGCTGAGCAGCACGCAGAGCAGCATCAGCTTCTGGGAGCAGGAGCGGTGCGCACCTCAGCCATTCTCCTCACACAGAGGTGAGACTCCTCCAGCACCTCCTCGGCTCCGTTCGTGTGCGTCCTTAACATCTTCGTGCCCTCCAGCTGGAGCCAGTCGTGTCGCGCGCCACGCCACGAGCGCATCGGAGCCGCGTGCGCTTTTCTGCTGGCCAAATGCGCCACACGTTCTGGGATTCTAGAGGGGGAAAAGCTCAAATCAGCGAGATGTCCTCCACATCAACACAGGTGAAGCAAACTTAAAGAATATTTGAAAATGAAGCCAAATCTGCGATGACCACTGAAGCTATTTCATTATAAGAAGTGAACATCTTGTTAATGAAGACATCAAAGCCAGTCATAGGTAAGAGCATTCTCACTTACTTACAAACTTACTAAATTGTAAATGTTAAGCCAAAGTCGAATTTAGCATGTTTTAAGAGTTACATAGTCAGTTTAAAGCAGGGTATTTCTTTTCGGTTTACTGTATGGGCCCAAATCCATTAACCAGATAGGATGATGTTCTTGTGTATTTACACATGCGATTTCATATAGCGCAAACCAAACAGAATTCTCAGCTTTTGTGTGCAGAGTTTCCCAACATTGTTAATGACTGACATGACCTCTTTATTCTAACGTTAGATTCAGTAAGATTGCATAATTTCCTCCCTGGGAGCATGTGCAAGTTCAACCATAGATTATTACTTAATTATACTACTAATACTAATCATAATAATAATAGTAATGATAATAATGATCAATACGAATTATATTTGCCATGTCTGTTCTTAGTTTGTTTAGAAAAGCAAGTCAGATTTTCCTTTCTCAGTTGGTGGTTATGGCTCTGTCAGTCGTGATACCTGTTGCACTAAAGGGCAGCATTTTAACGCCTAACGGTCTAATCTCTCGCAGTGTGCTCACTTATACCAACAGCGTTGATTGATTTGCGATTCCATTTAGTGCTTGCTTCATGCATATGCCTCATACAGTTTCATGTTTTTATTTTTTTGCACTTTCTCTGGATTATACCATCCTCCTCCCGCAACTGCCCATCCATCTGACTGTGATAATGGGTGTTCAGCTGTAACTGAGCTCCCATTAGTTAAAATTTGGATGACTGTCAACCCACAGACCCCTCCATCTTGCTGCCATGGAGAAATGACATGATAAAACCTCTTACATTAATGGCACTGAGCTAAATCGTGTGTTGGCGATGACAAGCACTTCAACCTGATATCAGTAAGGCATTGATGTGATTCCCCACATTCAATTACCTGGCTGTGGAATAATTTACATTAGTGTTCAACCCCTGTTAAATTGCATGTACTGTCATAAAAAAAAGTAGCCTTACCTGAAAAAGATGATCTTTTAGCAGTATGTGAAAATTCAGAACTGCATATTGTGTGGAGTTATTTCTAGTTTTAGCGTTGGGCTTGACCAAATAAGCACGGGAGGAGATCCGTCTGGCGTTGGAAATGTTTGGCTCCTGTGGTGCCATTCTTCAGACATTCGCTCAGTGAGGTTTGTCTGCAAGAAAGATTATCAGGATGTGCAATCAAAAACTTCTCTCCAGGGGTTGCTGTCTGCGTGACTAAAAAAATAAGCATACTACAACATCTAAAAGTTTTGAACACACAATATTAAATAGCGTTTTGTGAGTCAGACTTACAACATGATTGTTGAATATCATGGGTCAACAGGGCAAGATCAGATGATCCCTGTGCACAGAGAAGGGGCATCACATTCCATAGCCAATGAATATGATGACTATAAACCTCAATTAGTTTTCTCTGGGATGTATAATCAATATCAAAATCCATATGATTTGGAATCATGACAACACTTTTCTCTCTGTGCAGGTGGGATGCCATAATCAGAAAAAGAGAGGAAGAGACTGAGGTATCATGGACTCCTGGATATTCTCATCAACCCCTCCGAACTTGTCGGATCACTTCATTTATGACAGCTTCATGCAGATCAATGGCTCTGGCCTTAACAACGGGAGCGAGACAGACCACAGCTTCAACAGAACCAGCACGGTGGTCATCACCTGCATGTACTTTCTGGTCTGTGCTGTGGGTCTCTGCGGGAATGCTCTCGTCATCTACGTTATCCTGCGTTACGCTAAGATGAAGACAGTCACCAACATTTACATCCTCAACTTGGCAGTGGCAGATGTCCTCTTCATGTTGGGCCTGCCTTTCATCGCCATCCAGCTGGCGCTGGTCCACTGGCCGTTCGGGCCCGTGCTCTGCAGGGTCGTGATGACCGTCGACTCTCTGAACCAGTTCACCTCCATCTTCTGCCTGATGGTGATGAGCATCGATCGCTATCTGGCCGTGGTTCATCCCATCAAGTCCACAAAGTGGCGCAAGCCCCGCATGGCCAAGACTATCAACCTGGCAGTGTGGGGGGTGTCCTTGTTGGTCAACCTGCCAATTGTCATCTACAGTGGAGTGATTACAAAGCAAAATGGCTGCTTCTGCACCATTGTGTGGCCCGAGCCACAAGAAGCGTACTACACAGCCTTCATGTTCTACACCTTCATTCTGGGCTTTTTCATGCCCCTTATGGTCATATGCCTCTGCTACCTGTTCATCATCATCAAGGTAAAGTCTTCAGGCATTCGTGTAGGCTCTTCCAAGAGGAAGCGATCAGAGAGAAAGGTGACCAGAATGGTGTCCATCGTGGTGGCAGTGTTTGTCTTCTGCTGGCTGCCCTTCTACGTCTTTAATGTGACCTCGGTGACAGGCACCATCAGCACCACTCCCATCCTGAGGAGCACCTTCGCGTTTGTGGTCGTTCTGGGATACGCCAACAGCTGCGCAAACCCCATCCTTTACGCCTTCCTGTCAGAAAACTTCAAGAAGAGTTTCCAGAATGTTCTGTGTCTCAAGAAGGTAGGGGGGCTGGATGAGGTTGACCGGAGCGACAGCCGGCAGGACAAATCCCGCATGATGAATGACCCCACGGAGACCCAGAGCACTCTGCTGAATGCTGACCTGCAAACCAGCATTTAACAGGAAGATAAGTGGACTTAACATGCACAGGTGTAGATGGCCCTCTATCACACACAGTCATTCTGTAGCCCACTCTCCTGGGTAACATACTACAGGGCATTATTATTGGACTTAAAACTTACTGGTTGCAAAGGACAAGCCACCAGTAAATAAGATGTAATTAAGAAGATGTAAACTGTCCCAAGGCCGCCCAGATTGTACCCAAATGCATTCCAACAAAATCACTGGGGCCTATAAATCAGGAGCAGCCACATTCAAATGGACCTCTGGGTGACATGGGCTTACTCGGAGCCCCAGGATTATGCTTGTAGTTCACAGCAGAGGGTCTGAGGCCACTTTTCATATTTCTGTATTGTCTGAAAATCAGACGAGAGCACAGACTATAAATAACTGTAAATTAAATGGGCGGCAACATTGTATAAAACGTCAGGGGTTATTATTATCTTCTTTAATTTCTTTCACACTTAGATGCGTAGATATCAATCAGATGCTGAATGTAAATACGAGATGGTGCTGTTATGTGTCCCACTATGATTAGTTATATAATGTTTTTCTTTTAATCTCATTTTTCTGGACATATAAATTATGTACATGTTTAGTAGGTAACCATTTGTCTTGTGTCACATTTCCTCTGCTTTACCTTCGTTTCCTGTGTATTTGTGATCCAGTCTAGTACTGGTACTGGTTTGGTTATTCATCAAGCTGGCATTAAACCAAATTGCTGCTAATGTATATATAGAAAATGATGACAGTGTTTGATGATGGTGTTACGCAGTATATTTTTTAAAAACAAAAAAAGAAAAAATGTCTGCATTGTGTTTTTACAGAACGGATGTTCTGTGGTATTGGTTTCATTTTGCTACCTATGTGTATTGAAGTGTACTTTGCAATTTTGTTGATGTCACAATAACATCTGTTTTCAAAATTGTTGGATTGTGTGACTTAAAAGGATTTCGTATTAATCCTGACTTGTAGGTCATCTATGCTATTTGCTTGGGTTATGTCGGAGCATGAAAGGTCTTCAGATGAAGTCTTCTGAAATATTTTCTTGTTTGTCTTTCCTGTTGACTTGTTTGCTAAGTTCTAAAAAAGAAAAGGATGAAGTAAGATGAGAAGCACCACAGGACTTAAAACAGAAACAGTTCTGTTCTTATGTTACTCCTCTCGACTGTTTGACCAGATAAGGAGGATGAGCGTGTGTCAAACATTGCCATTTTCTTAATATTCCGGGGATTCAGTAAGATCCTACTTTGAAATAGGCTTTCGGATATCTGATGGCAGAGGGAAAATAATTTGTAAAGGGCTAGAACACTTATCCTCAAAAGGGTTGTGGTGTTCCCATATCATCAACACAGTGCTGCTCCACAGTGGAGGCCACACTTCACCCTGACAACCTGCGACTGTCTCTTCAACAGGCAGATTGTTATCTTTGTGATTAATTTACACCACGTGCAGGTGTCCTCGTGATACATCAAAGCTCCTAACAGACTTGGACTCATGCACAACAAATCCTGACCACAGTTGTGTTCTGTTGGCGGAAACATCCTAACAAACAGTCGAGCTAACATGCGATGTAAATATGTGTTACTATCGATGTGAACATGTGTTATGGTTATCAAATGAACGTGTGCATTCTGAAGTCTGCACACACTTACACACATTGCCGAAAAAATCCCTGTGTAATCTAACTCCATATTGTATCTCTGTCACTGGAGCATTGCTTTAAACCTGCTTAAATCTCTCTCTCTCTCTTTCTCTCATATATATATATAAATATATATTCCTAAAACAGCAATGGCTTGTTGTTAAAAAGTATTCAAAAGTATTATAGACAAATGACTCCATGAAAGTTTCCAGACATTGGTGAAATGACTCCAGCAAAATGACAGAGAGTGGAGAATAAAGTAATAAATTAACATTGTACAAAGTCTATTCTCTTAAAAGCTACAAAACCAAACATATAAATATCATTAAAGCAGATAATAGTCTGATCTGTTAGCAGGTGGTACAAAATGTAAGCTAGTGCACAGCAGGCTTGCACCACTGTAGCAAATCCAGCAGAAATCAGTGTTATTTGTGTTTATGATTGCAATGTTTTGCAATGATTAGAAATAGATGTTTATGCCTTTTTTTCTAATATGTGAATTTCATAAGATAATATAGACATTTCTTTGCCATATATCTGTTCTGTTAGTGTTTTAGGTAAGTGTTGTTTCCATGGTGAGTTGAGCTGTTTCTGTGAAGTTTGCATTTCTTTGTAACAGTAATTTTGTCTCTCTTCCTTATGCTTTATATAAACTATCCAGTTTGATGAGCAAAGGTTGTGTATTCCTGTGCTGAACTTAATAAAGTCTAATGAACAGAATCTTTGGAATGTCTGGGGAATACATACTTGGGTGTATAAAAACCCCCATCTACGCCTGGAAGCACAACGTATTGAAATTACAAGCCAATTTACTTAAAAAAACCTTTTAATTAATGGTGAGATATGTTTACATCAAATTAACGGTTGATTTTCTCACAACACATTTTTTTTTCACCAAAATCATATTACAAATCACAAATATAGTACACGCTTAGGTCACGTCATATAATATTCAGGTATTATTGATGCCTGTTATTTTCCTTGGAAGTGTGCAGCATTTGATAACAATAGTACGAAAACAAATTTTAATGTAAAGCTTTCATTAAAGGTATGTCTACTCTCCTCATTTTCAGTCTGGAATGTGTTAACAATCCTGGACTACGCCAGAGGCTCTTTTCTTTTCCGACCGTGTTGTGCTTCTGTATGTGGCCACAGAGTGGAGCTACAACCTTGTGCATAACTGCATGAGCAGACATGTCCGTTCAACATGCTGTTAAATGTGTTCTACTGGCAATTGCAAATCTCGACAAATATAAGTTTTATTTTGCGTATCAATATTCTCTTTCTTCACCATGCAAATACCTTTAAAGAAATACAGGGCCCATCCAGAAAACAGTTTGAAACACTTACTTACGGATTTGGCTCAGATGCAAGAGATTCTCCTGTGATAGTCCTTTAGTAAGTGCAGAAGAAATGTGACACAAAAGACATCAGGAAAAATACACATTCCAGTTTAGAGTTTAATCACTGAAACAGATAAGCTCTCCTCTATTTTTTTTTTCTCGTTTCAGCCGTTTCCCTGAATGTTCCTTAGTCAGACTTAACTGCTCCAAAATGCATTGAAACCATGGTGTGGTCATTTCATAGGTGTCTGTTGTTAAGATGCTCTGCAGCAGGCTAAAGGGTGTGAGTATATGATTTAAAGTTACAGAGCAGATAAACAAGCAGGGGTTGTGTTTTTTTTTATTATCATTATAACGTGGCATCACTGTTTGATAGGGCCTTCAATCATTTTATTTATTTGCTTTTTACAAGAGTGAATATCTGTAATTCTGTTCATTTATATGAACGCACTCAGCGACCACAAGACCCTGACGTGTAAGCAAATTACCCAAAGTTTTACTCGACGGAAGAATGACTGAATTTAGTAGCAGATTTACTGCACAGCGGAGGCAGAACATACCACAAACCACACCGGTCTGCACCAGCCACTGTTGCCATGGAGAAGATTAACACTGATGGATTCAGAGCCAGGCTGTGGTCACATAGTGCCCATATATGTGCAATGTGTTTTGCTTTCTATATATCTCACGCAGTCGCTATCCCATTTTCCAAGGTGCAGAGGGACAATCATGATGGGGGATCGAGCCTTGGGCTGCAACCGAGAGCCATTTTTCACAGAAGGTCACGAGAGCCCAGGCATGCATTCTGTTATTTAATGGGCTATTTTGTGCGTGTGAGTTTTGCACAGAACGTTCAAGGCATTCATTCAGGGGAGAGCGCATCATGCTCCCATGTAGGATGTGATCTGTAGTTCATGTATCAACTCTTCCACTTTCCACACGGAACTTCTAAACCACAAAGGTGAGCCAATTAACACTGTCATATTACCAACAATTCCACAAGAATGAAAGTGTAAGATACCAAATAATATTTCCTGTACCAGGACAGCAAGGAACATGACTGTACTGACAACTTAAAAAAAAACACAATAAAACGATCTACACGAAAAAGAACAGTAAACAAAAACTCGATTTTCATGAAGTTGCTAAAAAAATAGATATTCCCTGCCCTGAACCAGACTTTAAAATAAACAGTCAACACAGTAAATATGTGAACATGAGTACACTCGGATCCAAATCTGTTCAGTTTCCATGGCAGCGCTTCCCCTGCAACCGACAAAGGCAGCATCTCAGAGCTCTCCCATGTTTTTTTGCCCTTAAAAAATAGATGATAGATAGATTCGTACGGTATTTCAGAATTAAATTCACAAATGAGAAGAATCATAACCATACCTTAAAGAAATGTTCTTGCAAAGGTGATGACACACTGATTTATATATTTTTTTGCAATCAGTCCTATATGCATATGCCAACTTACTGTCTGCCAACATGAGTAAAATGCTTGGTCAGTCGAAATGAGAGCACCATGGGAGAGAAATGGAAGGGGTGTGGAGGTGGAGGGGGTCAGAATACTGTAAGAAATCCAGATGTGCTCAAACTCAGACTCTGCCCATGCAGCAGGAAGGAGAAGGGCCAGAGAGTGAGGGGTGTGGGGCCTCTTCCCTCAGCCCTACACTGGAGCCCACAACGCTGACTCTTCCACCGCTTTTTCCTCTTCATTCAGTTTTGTCAAGTAGATGCCAAGAAGTAGCTCAGTGCTTGATTATGTTTTTTTCCTTTTGAAAAGTTGCATGATTTTACATGTCTTTTTGTTTTTCTTCTCCATAGCAGGAGGAGCAGACTGGTAGTCAAAAGGTTTCAGGTAGGTTTGTGTGTTTTCATTTCATCCAGCCCGCGGTCCTTTGACTCTCCCTTTCAAAGCAGTGGTTCTTCAAGCTCAGTGGTCACAGAAACTACTCGTATTCAAGGAACTGTTTATGGTAGAATAAGAGATACCTGAGAGAGAGAGAAAAAAATTGTTTCAACTTTCAGAAAATCGTATACATCAATGTTTTGCCGATGTCTTATTTAATTTCTTACCCTTCACTATCAAGTACATCCTTAATGCTGGCCTTGGTGATTATGGCATCGTCACATTTGAACCACTGGTCTTTGTGCTGACGGATGAAGCTGGTATAGTGGCCACTTTCTAATGTGCCTTGATGGTTAACCACCGCAAATAAAGAATACCTGAAAAAAGAGAGAATCAATCAGTACGATGAGTTGTTGATCTTTTTTTTGTCCACTATCATTAGCTAAAAAAGTCTCCATGTCCTCAAAGTCTGCAGTGTTTCAAGGTGACTTCTGCTACTACAGAGGCCACAAAAACTTACTGATGTGGATAGCTTTCAAACTGCTTTCATTAGCAGTCACTGCTGGATGCTTCAGGTTTTTGCAGAAATTTAAGTATCAATTAATCAGTGCTCCTGAAAACATAGGTACTCACTTATTGTCATTGTTTAAGACATCAACCGGCTGTTGATACTGCCCATTCATTCTGCTCTCTTTACTGTGGGAGACAAGAAAAAGAAGACCAAGGTGTTTGACTGTTTTTTTTAAACGCACTAGCATAAAATTCCACTAGGTGGCGGAATAACACAATCTACAACAGGCGCTGTCCTCTGGTCTGTGTTTGTAATGATTTTTCTGACTTAAGAGGGCTGAATGGATGCTACATCCAGCGGGTGGGGCGACACAGCTGCTTCATGCTCTACTGACACCAATAAATGTCAGCATGGACCGTTTTATAAAGCTGTTTTTAACATGTAAGAGAACATGTAATGAACTCATTTGCAGACAAAATGCAGATAGCCAATTGAGGAGATGCTATTTAATGGGAAGATAAAACAAGTGCCTGCTCTGTGGTTACAGAGTAAATAAATAAATAAACTCCATCTTCCTTTGGAGGCTCACCTGGATGCCATGAAGGGGGTCATGTCCAATTCTAGAGGGAAGGAAACGTATGTAGTAATCTTCCTCCGCAGTTTTGCAGAGTGCTCAAACCGCTGGGGAGAGCCGGAGAGGAGGGATGAAAGGGAAAAGGGGGAGGGGAGGGGCAGAAAAATGGCAAGAAAGAGAGAAGTGTGGGGGATGGGAGAAGAAACAAATTTAGAAATAACAGTCATCATCACTACAAAGTACAAAAAAGAAAGATAAGTGGGAAAGCATGTTTTCCACTCTGGCATTACAAATTCATAACAAGATAATAACAGCCTTGGATTTATCTAAGACAATCCACTGGCAGTGAGTTCCTATGAATATCATAAATACATTATAGGTCCAGGTCTGCATAATAAATAAAACATGAATAACAGAGGACTGCATGAGTCATTACAATCCTGGGTGTCCTGGGACAGTACATGAAAGCCCTACACAGCTGGAAGGAAAGAAACAACATCTTAATCAAATTATGGACACACCCCCACACACACAAAACCTCACAGCTAAGTCCCTGAAATATGAAACAATCATGATTCTTTAAGGGGTAAAAATAAATGAAGTTACTCCCCTTTTCTTCAGCAATGGTTACGCTAACATTAGGTGAAAAGGATCGGTGGCCTCAGCACAGAACTATTTCAGCTAACTCTAGCAGTTGTCTAGGTGACAAATGTGCAGCAAAGTGTGCTCAGAAAGATGCTGAAGGCTGCCTAGTACACTAAGATAAGTTGTTGGCAATTAATTGCATTCAAGATGCCACATGTGATAATGGTATTGCAGTTTTGTGTTTTTTTAATACAGACTGCCAGTTCCTAAAGAATCAGAATGCGGGTTAAAACGGCTTGTGCCATAAAAGTACAGTGCAGCAGTATTTGATTTGATTTTTTTGTTCTGTAGAAGACCGATTACTTTTACTGGGATCAACACAAAACCATTAAATAGCCTGCTGGTAATGAAGCAGCTTGTATAATACTTTTATTATTTGTTTCACTGTTACTGCTTTTTCTTATCTTTTTAATTCTGTGATTGCTCTATGTTGCACATAGAATTAAAGGTTTTACAAAGATCTTTTTTATGTAAACAGCAATCCAAACCATAATATCTGTCAGAAAAATGGCCATGCACATCATTCAGCCCCAAATATTGCTGACTGACGGAATTACATGGAAGCCCAATGCATCATTAAATAAACAGAAAGTGAAATAATATAAAATGTGATAACAGGCACCGCATTGTTACTGACTCACTTTAAGATGGAAGCATGCAACGATGGGGAGCTTCTTCATTGTCAGCTGTTTAGTGGACTCTTGGTAACTATGGCAACCTCCGCACTTGATTTTGGCACTGCTTCCGAGATGCTCAGGCCGTGTAAACCTGCAGAACAGGAAAAGAAAGATGTTTAAGGGTGGAGAGGATGTTGCCAAACAATTTATGCACCGTAAAAAGGGAGTGTGAGGAAGAATGAGGCAGCAGATCTGTCTGGTCACGTTTTTGTTCAAGTGGTCACATTTTTCGCAGAGGAAGATAATCTGAACAAATCTCAGGGCTTATTTAAATAAGGAAAAAAAACGCCTGCAGGTTTGGTAGCAGGTCAGTATGCGCCATCAGAAAACCCTGCTTGCACTGCCAACGCCTCTATTGCCATGGCGACAGCAGCCAGCTCTGTACCTTTAAGAAGCTTGCTGCAGCAAGTCAGGGTGTGCGAGGAGCTGCAGTGAAAAAGTCAGCAGGAGAAGAGGTGAGAAAAAGGGAGAAGGGGGTGAGATAAATGTAGAGAGTGAGGAAGAGAGTGAGGGCACAAGGGAAAAGAATTAGGTGTGATGGGGAAGGAATTGAATAAGAAGTGGAAAGGGGAAAAAAAAAATTGTGAAGATGAAGAGGCCAGGGAGAATTGAGAGGTCACAACTGCTTGTGGGGAAAGAGGAAATTTGGACATAACAGAGTTGGTGAGATGGAGGAGATACCACATGTGACCCTTTTTCAAGTGGAGCCAGAGATGAAATTGTGTTTGGCTACTACAAAGGGAAAAGGGCAATCAGTCGAGTGGGCACACTTTTCAAAAATGTTGACATGATTTCTTTCCCCCCACGCCTTTGTGTAACTGGTGTTTCTGTTTTCCACACAGAAAAGAACATCAGTAATAATGGCAATGAACAACAAGTAAATCTAAAAGCAGCTTTGCTTAAAAATGGCAACCATATGCAACATGATAAATTGTTTCTGTTTCACTGACAAAAAAGAACAAAAGCGGACCTGCGCAGGCAGTCAGTGAGCGTTGTGGATCCTGACAGGTGGCTCTCTCCATTCACTGTGCTGCCATCCCCTCCAGGGCTGAGGGGCCAGAAAGGCGTGGATGAGCCTGGCAAGTCCAGACTGATGTCCCAAAATGGATCTATCGTCGTGGAAACCCCACTGTAGAAAAAGGGCAGGGAGGTTAGTAAATACAATGTTTAATAAACAGATTTGCTTTGTGTAGATCTTTGTCTCGCTTGTTACCGGGCCATGATGAAAGGATGATGACACAGATGGTAATATGTGAGCTTAAACTCACAGAGCCTCTGTGGATTCTGAACATGTTTTTGTTTTAGCCTGCTGGGAGACTGAAACTGTGTATGTCCGTACAGCAATCATATAATCACATGATTTTTGCACGGAGGAAGTTTTGTACATTATCATTGTTGATTAGATGAGTCATGTTTTCATAATACTCAGGAGGTACCTGTGGGACGTGAGTAAATCAAATAGAAATACATTTATGGTGATGGGCGGATCCACTTGCGGTAGCGTGGTCACATTATGGTTCTTCCACTGCATTTCAAAAGCCTCATCAATCCCATTGTTTAATTGTGTTCTATTCGTAATGTGCTGTCAACAGGGCCTTAATGAAAACTGTACAAAAAACAGCAGGTTCTGCTTTAAGAATCTCTTTTTCACTCTTCCTGCAGGAAGTTGAAGCTGGGCCCGGCTCGCCTGCAAGTCTGAGTGAGGTGCTGTGCAGTTCAGCGCAGTGGGCATGTGTTAATGCGACAGGACAGCTCTAGGGGGCAGACAGGCAATGCTTGAATCGTGCTGCTGTCTAGACAACCCCCATTAAAGTAGCTCTGCAGGGACTGGGCCCCTTCAATAGGAGCAGTGAAGACGACACCAGCAATAGTTAAAAAACCACACGACTACCATCAGAGCACCAATCGATTGGCCCGGTGGTGAGAGGTACGTATGGGAGGACAACAGTGGGAGATTGATAAATGAGGTGATAAATGAAGGGGACAGAAAAAAATTGTACAGGTACCAATGAGATGCTCACAAGCACATTTGCTACACAGTCGTGCGAACTTACTGGCAAACTTGACAAGTAACATCTGATTGCAGGCCCCCCGTGAAGATTTGGTCAATGATGCAGTTACAGTGGTTTGGATTGTTGGCCTTCTTGCCATTGTCGTCTCCTGTGAGAATAACAAGAGAACAGATTTTGCAATCACATGCCACCGCCACCAACAGCAGCAGGCTCTTTGACACCTTTGAGAAACTGACTGGCCCTCTTTCTCACATTACTGTTCACCTGCAACAATGTCTCCGTGCAACTTCACAACTAGCCAATCAGAGCTGGCCTTACTGCTGGGTCTGTGGGTGAGTCAGCTTCTCATCACATTGCAGCACAGCCTATTGACATTCCTTACACTGTGTGCTTGCTGTCTCCTTGGAACGCGGCATTGTCAGTCTCCATCAGTATGTTACCAGTGGTGGAAGTTACTCCCCTCTATGCAGATCTACACTCCGGATCAGAATCAGTGGGGGGGCTGAGTCTGAGACACCCTCTCCTCCAACATCAGGTGACTGTTTATAAATAGTGTGTTCCACTCCACCGCAGCCTTTGATCCACAGCAAATATTTCAGAATGTTGATACAGGATATGATAAAGTAAATCCTGCGCAGTCACTTAAAGGACACCTTGGTGTGAAGTTTCGTTTTCACTGTCACCGCTCAGAAGGATTCGTGTGAGGCTTACTGATGGTGTCTCCTTTGCAGTGCCTATGTAGTACGTCCAATGCGGCGATGAGGAACTCATGGGCATCTTGCTGCTCGTAGCCTGCAAGATGACGTGCATGAGTCCATACCAGGTGCAGCAGCCGGAAAGGAATGTGGGGCGAACGGTGACCCGAGTAGAACTGAGAGCGAGAAAGAAAAAAAGTATGATGGAGGTGAAAGAAAAATGGTTACTTCATTTAAAAGGCGAACAGCTCACTGCCATCTGAGATTCACTGTTTCACCGTAATGTAAATAGTCTTCCTGTCATGGAGACTGACGGCCTCCCTCAAGTCCTTCTGCCAACAGGTCTTGATGGTTAAAAATATATTCCGCCACATTACATACATTTACTGGCTTTAATAAGGCAGCACATTCTCAGAGTCAGACAGAAAAGTCAGTCAACGACTGGGTAAGAGGAAGGCTTTACGCAAGTAATCTATCTGTTACATTCTAAAGTCTCTCTGGGTTGTCATGGGAATTACATTGTGTCACAATCAAGGTCAAGGTGACAAGTTCTATTGTACAAAAAATAGCAGGACCCAAGCAGTACAATATGGGTTCTTATTCTTTATTCTCTGTAGTTATCTCAGATGTCTGATCGTTTCTTTATGAATCCTACATGCTCCTCTCATTTTGACTGTCTAGAAATGGTTGACAAGCACAAGACACTACAAGAGGAAAAAAAGAGGACCTCAACAGCTGATCAAAGCAGGTTGTTTCTACCCTTTTCAAATCCAAACATTTGAGAATGTGAGACAACAAATCCAACTTTTGAAGATTTGAAGTGATGTGGCCAACGTAAAAAAGTAAGGGTAAAGAAATTAATAGCAAATAGACATTTATGATTAAGTATGGCCCCCAAGTTTTCTGAGTCAAAGGTTAAAAATTAAATGGACATCAGACTGGGAGAAAAAGGTGAGCTTATACCTCCCTCACACGTTAAGTAGTTCACCCAATTGAAATGGGACAGAGCTCTGTGGCTGTAAGGGGTGGGGATGTGTGAGGGGGTGTTGACTCAACTCATTATACACCACAGCACCACTTGCCATCTGTGTGCCTGTATATACCAGGAAGTGAGAAGGTGTAAGGAGAGCGCGAGGTAGTGTGGGAGCAAAACAGATAGCCTTTATGTAAGGCTTTTGGTTGATAATTTTGTTAGACATAAATAGAAAAACTTTTTCATCAAACGAAAATGGTTGGCTGATATATGCATCGGAATTTATTTGCCTTTACTGTTTCTTTGTAAAGCCTCCCGGCATGTGTACTTGTTCTTACTTGAGGAGCAATCCCTGCCCCCTGCTATCCATCCTCAAGTGCAGTATAGACTCTATTATAACTTCTCATATTAGTTAGCTTAGCAACTTTGCCGGCACGTTTTTTCCCTTGAAAAAGCACTTGAGGTTTGTCTTTCTCTGTCAAAGAGGGTCACCAGAGATGCCCTGTGAGCACCTGTTTCTCCCCTGGCACATATGAAGCCGCATTTCTCTGAATCATTTAACATGTACATACATTGCAAGTCAAAACACAGATGTTGTCAAAGGTGATTTTTGTCATGGTTTCCAAAAAATATTTTACTCACTTTGCTGTCTCGTAAGGAAGGAGAAAAAAAATACAAAAATTAACTATCAGATTTATCAGAATATCCTTTTTACAATACAAAAGAGCACAGATGGTAAGAGTAAAGAAACTAGCTGACAATGATGATGCAAATTCTGCGTGGAATAGTACTATTGTGTTTAAGTACATGCACAATCATTTTAAAAATACATAGTTTTATTATCTTTGTCTCACCATCTAGCCCTACAAATACATAAGAAAGAATCAAATGGTGCAAAAACTGATCAGGCCCAACACGAGTGTAAATACTGCATTGTGCTATTTATTTAAACGTGGCTATGTATAGTTCATGCAGGCAAGATTCCCCCCTCCTGTCTCTTCTACTTTGGACGCAACAAAAGCATTCTATGGTGACTCAGCCTTCCGCAGTGGCTGATACTCCAAGGAGAAAATTCTTCATTAAATGGTTGTTATACACAAAGTTCCACGTTATGGCTGTTAACCAAATTCCATTTTACTTTAGAAAGACTTAAAAGACCAAAGTGACATGTTCACACATAGAACTGTGCATCATACCTCCTGAAAGAGCTGCGACATCTCACACACCAGACAGGAGTTTGATTGCATTTCGCACTTGTGTCTGTCAGAGAGAAAGAAGTCCCGCAGCAGTGGTGTGTGTGTTAGGGCCTGAACAATGCAGTTCATGAAACATGTGTTGCCCAGGTTAATAAGCCCTCGTAAACCTGCGGGACAAGATAGAAAGAGAAGTATGAGAATTTGAAGGTGGTAGGATGGCACATATCTCACTTCAGGTTTCTGGTGAAGAAGACATTTAAAAGAGCCCACAGGGACCTATTTACATTTCTAAGGACTGAATTATATCCATCATGTAAATCCTTTGTAAAGGCTTAGAAAGTTGATATCATAAGTGGATACAAAGTGAAAAGAAATCTCACATGAACTGTAGGTTATTAGGTAAGGTTAACCTATTCTGAATATCTGTGGAATATCACCATTTAGGTTTAGACTTAAATTAAGAACGCACTGAATCTGACACTAAAGATGACACTCTCAATTCATCTCAGTTTAACTAAAATCATTTTTGGTAGCAACAGGTAGAAAAAGAGCTTGTCTTTCACTTGGAATATAGTAGGTTCTGTACCAAGCTGCCCCGTCTACCTGCTGAACCATCACAGTTGGATGCTGAATTATACATTTTTGTAAGAAACACAGTAACGGAAATATTCTGAGCCCTATTTTTTTTTTTTTTTTACATCTTTCCTGTAGATTTAATCTTTAACAAAAAGAAGAAACCACTTAAGAAAATAATTTTTAAGTATTTAATTCCACTTCTCCCTGTCACTTCCTTTTAGGCTACATTAGTTTGGATCAGTGAAAAGCCTAACATGGCTCTCTCCTCGGTTTTAAAAGTCTGGGCTTTGGCTGGGTTACTTAAAGTCAGACAAGGACTACAAGGATACAGGAAATGCAGCTTTATCTTGACTGGAAGCCTTGGATCATTGGACTGAAAGGTAATGGTCACCTTACTAATCACTTAATGCTGACCCTGTCTGACAGCACGTTGCTAAGTGACAGCACCGTTCATGCATGCCCTTGTCTAAAAGTATGACTCAGCAATGTTTTATCACTGAGATCTAAAGACGCCCCCATGAAGATCAGGGTTTGGTTTAGTCATGACACACAGAATGAGTGCTGACACCTTGCTAACAAATCTCAAGGTCCATTACATCTAGGAATTTGGAGTAGAATACAGATTCATACTTTATTTTTTGCACTTTTATTCCAACTAAATTTGATCATATAACCTAATAAAGACATATCTGAGTACTTCCCAAATTAACTGCACGCAGTTAACAGATGGGTCGTATTTGCCAGGAAAACTGTGTGTATCTGGAGACGACTCCAAAGCTGTGAAAATTAATTCATTTAGAGTGCTCCACTGACGGCCGGTTGAACAGGTGAAGCACAGCCAGCTACTGGGTCTAATCCAATTCAGCAGGGTTTGATTGTGGAAGGGAACACTCAGCAAGAGCTTAAACACTCCCTGCTTCTCCTGGTGTTCAAGAACACAAAACACAATCACTAAGAGTCAGGCTGACCGGTCGTTGGCTAAGGATCTAAAGGTTAACAGAGAAAGGGTGTAGTCAGCTAATGTTAAAAATTAGTGAAAAGAGTGGGATACAAAAGAATGCAACAGATTACAGGAATGAAAAACGTCTGCAGAGAGAGAGACTGATTCAAGCCTGCTGTGGCGTTCGTTTATCTCAGAGGGAACATTTTGTCCTGCCTGTTGTTGTGCGCTGCCTGTGAGGCTGCAGTTAACCTTGGGCTTCACACATAAATGCATATGTGACCCTAAGTTCACTTGCACAATGTAAAAACAGTATGCAAACACGAAAACTGCCAAGCACTGAAATGCTGTGCTGATTAGGACGTGTGGACTGGACTTGCCCACCTATGGTACAGTTTGTAGTGATTTTCCTTCGCTTTGGATTGTGTCGTAACAATTCAAGTTCCCTCTTGGTAGGCTCCCATGTTGTGTATTTTTCCCCAATACCTGTGGATATAAAGACACACAGGCGTGGCTACAGTAGGAAATGACAAAGAGAATTCGAAGCTGCATTCATTTCTTTGACAAGGATCCCATACCTTGGAACTTCCAGGCTTTCCTCTGTTCTTCTTTGGCAATCTGCTCCATGTCTTTGTCGTATATGTAGTCTTGACAGACAAAACAATATATTCCCCCGTATAATAAGTCTATTGCTGAAAGGAGGAAATAGAGAGGAAAAATGAGAGATGGCCCAAAAAACTTTACAGCACAGGACCCCACCTTAGGTTTGTTTCACGTTAAGCTCGCCATGCGCTCAGCCATTTTAGGCTGTGGCAGGAGCAGAGAATGTATAGGTGGATTTGCTTCCCACGGCAACCTCTGCGTTTTACAAACAGATACACAATCATCTTTGACTCCTAGAGCAAAATACCTTAGCTCTGTTGCCGTGACAACTTATTTTTAGATTAACTGTACCATTTTTTTCAGTTTTTGGCACTACCCACACTAGGCAAGTGGATTTCATGACAAAGTAGAAACCTAGAAACAATATAAAGACTGGGATTTGTGTTTCTTACAATTAGGAGGTGTGTCTGTTTCCGATAGCTTTTTATAGTGTGAATTAAGAAACCATACAATTCACGAATAAAGCTGAAGATACACAGTGACACATGCACAATACAAGTAACAAAAGTGGCTGAGGAAGAATACAACAACTTGTGCAGTACAAGATACGGAAAGGAATGTATTAGTTAACCCAGCTAAGTGAATGAAACCAGCAGGGAATGAAAGGAGGAGGGATGGGGAAGAGAATATATAGGGGAAGGAGGATGTAAACAGACCGAAAGCGAGACCCTTTAGAACAGGAGAACAGAGAGAAACTGATCAAACAAATATAGCATTGATAAGAGAGCTTAAAACTCCCCCGGTCTGCTTGACAGTCTGGGGGAGTTTGGGTTAATTTGATTAGAGGCAGAGAAGAGCAGAGTGCCCATGTTCGAGCAGCTCCCCTGGAACGCTCTACGCTAATTAACACCGTCGCCCTGCTTGGGTATAAGTCTGCAACCAAAGAGTTGAAGTGTATTTAATTGTTATTACTATTATTATTATTATTATTTAACCATTAAAATGACTATAAGCCACACTGTTGTCCCTAAAGCTTCCATATTCTACTGACCCATGAAAGTAATATCTAATTCTTGCTTATTAGTGTCTCATTAAGCATAATTAGCATGCAAGGCTAAAGTTTAATAGCTGTGGGATAGTTCCCCCCCACAGCTGTAAGGAAAGAGCAGTGGCTTATACAGGTGACATTTGACTAAACATGGAGATCCCAGTGAAACGGTAAAATACTGTGGTGAGAATTGAGTTCAAGCCCTGATTGCTCAAAGAAGATGTTCCTAAGAGGTTTAACTGACATGACGTGTTTCTTTGACCTCAAACATAACTGACTGCATTACTGTGGAAATCAACACATGAACATACATTATAGATTAACCTAACACGCATGTCTTCCTTGGACGGTGGGAGGGGGAAGCCGGAGAAGTTTGAGAGAACCTTCACAGAAAGGCCCCCGGTTCCCGGGGATTCAAACCAGGAACCCTCTTTCTGTGAGGCAAGAGGCTTCCTGGTTCCAAGATTCAAGTGCTTTGGTCTCAGTTTTCAAGTGGAACCACCTCTAAATCACCATCCTAAAAATAGTTGTGTAGAAAAGTTTGTGTGATGGATTTCTTTTATTTCTTTCTTTTTATCTATCCACAAATTTAGGGGAATTTAAAATCGGAAACCTATATAAGATGTTTTCTTCCAGGGTGCCATTGGTCATTGGCTGTGTTTTCATCCATTTGTCCAGGGAATGTAAGAGAATTCAAAAGTGTTTTTCAATGTAATTCTGCACCTCAACAAACTGGAACTGTTTTTCTTCAGGATTTAAATCTGAAAACTATGAAACTATGTCTTATGCTGACTCCTCTACAAAAGACGGGTTGCTGCTGTGCAGTGGATCTTTGTGTTTGCAGTCAGGAATTTTACAAGCAATTAACCTGGGGAGTTCACTTTTTACCTCCACCCTGTAACCAATTTTATTCACACCCATTCATCTAGAACAATATAAACTACAGAAACTGTGACTTGGACACACACTGGCAACTTCTTATAGGCTTTTTCACCTTGGCCGTGGTATTGGATTTGTAGGTGGTTGCTTTGCTTGGACAAATTTCAAGTATTCATGAATCCTTGCAAATTTGCATCAGGTGACCTTTATAAATCATGGCTCCTAGCTAAAGTCCTGGAGGATTAATTACGGTCCAAAACCTTCATTAAATTTCTCAAGGGCTGAAATATTTTCAGGTGGCTCAACTTTCCCCAATTTAAAACTTGTCCAAACAGCACATGGTAAAATACCTCAACTTTATACACGTCTCTTGGAAATCCAAGTATTGATTAAAAGAAAAAAATGTGTGTATATATATATATATATATGAAATCCAATCTACATTCACACCATATGTAAACTCTTCATAAAACAATGGATGACTTACCTAGATTGTGTCTCTTGTTTTTTGCGTGCTCGTGGATGTGTTTCTTCGTAAAACAGCCGAAAAAGACACAGTACAGACACGAATGAAGCCGGTTCAGGTGCGCGCCACACATGTGACAGATACACGACTTGGCCTATAAGAAAAAAGAGAAAAAGACCCGAGAGGAAAGCAAGGGGTTTTGGGAGGAAAAGGGAGAAAGGAATTCAGATGTCAATAACAAAACCGCTTCACACCTGGAAAAGCCAACCAAATCCTTATGAGCAACTCCCATTATATTACAACATAACCACGTCTCAAAAAGGAGCTTAGCATTTACACAATACAAGCACAAAATGAACAACAGGCTCCTGAGCCTGGGCATCTTAACACTGATAAACACAATGTGACAAGATGCATAAGATGTGTCAACCTTGTGCACTTCAAGAGAAGTCACATAAAGACTCAACCATTTGCACTGAGGCAACTTTAACAATATGCTGTTTTTAAACATAAATTAGGTCATCGGCAGAAAGATACGTGTTTTAGTGGGTAACATGAGCCAAAACACAACAGATGTCAGCTTTGAGAGGGAGAAACTGGATAAGGACAGAGGGAGAGGGCTCAGGCCTGCTGCTGCCATGAGCCACCCACTCAGGAGACAAAACAGAGGGAAAGGAGGTGTGAGGTGTGAGGCAAGTGAGACACTTCAAATAAAAGAGAAACTACTGACAGGAGCTGTGTACCAGTTTTCCATTTCTGGTGTGCTGATGTGAAAACAGCCGACAAGACACACATCAAGCGCACACTCCTAAACATCTAAAGCTGTTGGACATGAATTCAGAGGAGGTGAACAGCATTGTGTACTTACTGACAACTTTTGTCTAGAGAGACAATAGTGTAACCCAACACCATCTCAACACATAAAACATAAAATGGAGTTGTACTGCTCTGTTTTGCTTCCTTTTCCCACCGTGATGCACATTTATCAAACACTGCAATGACACACTGCATTACACACTTACTTTTCATTTGTTTTATCGTTGTGCTTTAAGAGGTCTTTGCTTCCTAACATAAACACCCAAAATTTTTAAAGTACCGTTTCCTCTTGTTTTGTTAGTTCTTTGTATGAGACATAATATAAAACCATTTGGAGGACATTTAAAGCAAACATTTACAACATCCTAATGAAAATCAGAAAGTATATTAAATCAAGCCTCTTGACTGTGTGTGTCTTCATTAAGCTGACTGTGTCAGCTCAGAGCCGTGCCGCCTAAAAGTGATGTGCATATGTAAAGAGGTCCGGCTGCAGAGAAGTTCTATGGAAAACTATAAAGGTGCTTTTTCACACATTACACTGGCAGGTTCAAGATTAATGGAATGCCTCGCCTGTCTGAAAGGGCCTTAACAGACCCAAATGCTGCTCACTTTCCTCTAGACAGATGGCAGACTCATTTTCCAACAAAACGATTTTCACACAGAGATGAATTTCTGCTGAACTGCTACATCTTGTCAGTGGGAGTGGATGGAAATTTTGAAAGGAGCTGGTGGGTGCAAGTCTGAAAAAGCAGGCACAAGCTGAGCTCTATTGTTCAGACCGGTGGAAGGACAGGAGTGAAGTCATTTAGCATTCCCTTGTGGATGGCTGAGACCCAGCACATCAAATGAATGGTGCCCATGTATTTGCTACCGAAATGGTAGAAAAACACTCAACCGCAGTCATCAGCAGACAGATGTGATAATGACGCTGCTGTTGACAGGACATCCAGCATGATAAACACAAGGCAATGTTTCACTCAGAACTGGCCAGTTAAACAGCTCTCAATGGTTGTGTGAGACAGGTGCTGCACCAAAGGGGGAAAAAAGCTCAAAGAGGCATGGACATTGAAGGACAAAGTCACTCAATCTATTGACATGCATGGAGAAATGTTTACACTTTTTAAACTAAAGGTAATATGTAGAGTAAAATACATGCAGATGGCATGTATGCATAGTAATATTACAAAAGAGATTAGACATTCTACAGGAGCACCAATAGGTTCAACAAGGCTCTGTATGCATGAACTTAACTGATCTGGCTGAAGCAGCAGTGTATCTAATCCCTGTTCCTCCACTGCACCACAAGTACAAAACGCACATGCCTTGCTGTACCCTCCTCACCCTCCTGTGCCTCTACAACCCTTCAGGAGGTCGGAAAATCCATCTTTGCTCACTCTCCCTGTCAGAATGGGTGAAAGGCTGTTAATACCTCAGTGTCAGCAAGTCCTGCATCTTTTCTGTGCCCGGGGCGATTCCTGTTCGTGTACAAAATCGACTATTGATCAGCCGCTTGCTTAGATGACTGAAACAAGTGTCACCCAGGTAGCAAGCTCATGTTCAGGACACACATGGCTGCATCTTCCATCTAGGATGCCTTCTTGGAGGACTTTCAGAAGGTGCTACGTGTGCAGGGAAATTACCCCTCTGATGTTCAAAGTTGTTAATATATGGGTTAGGGGTATTCAGGGCTAAAGGAATAGATCTTTAGCATTTTTCATGTGAATGTAAGACGGTGCGCCAATGCCACGGTTCTGAGAGATCTCAGTTAAAATGATGCCAGCTTATAACCTATGAATCATCCAATGTTCTCCATCCAGTTGTACACATGAATTAATCTCAAGGCACCATTCACACTCAAAGATTGGGCTTGATCTTGAAATTCTCTCAGTCTGGACATTACTCCTCTGTTAGAATCTCAGATTAGTCTTAACGTATTTATATAGTCGGACAGAGGGAGTGATGTGATGAGCTGGAATCAGGGCGGAGAGACAAGGCGACAACAATGAAGATGTGGCTCTACCAAGCACTCTACTGCTGCTGCAATAAACACAGGAGGGAGGGGGGGGTCAATACAGTCTGGAGACTATGGCTATATGAGAACAGTGACTCACCATGCCGCTAACATTCATATGCCTGAGCCTTTCTCCACACACTCGAGTTTCATGCTCATATTTCAACGCGTTTCTCGGCGCCATGGCTGAAATCTGCAAGCCTGCAGACCCTTGCAGCACGTCCCCACCCAAAAACATACGTTATTAGACATTTGTTGTAATTAATTTGTGCACAAATGGCACTCAAAGTGCTCTTTGATTCTATATTTAACATAAAGGAAGGCAAGATAGACTAGGGACGGATGGGGATGCTGAGGAACTGTGCTACCACTGAGCCCACAGGGATGCTGCCTGTCAGCGCCTTGCCATAATGATGATGTAGTCCCCCCCCCCCCCCACACCATTTCCACATGCCTGTGCCAGGCCCACAACATGCACTTTCAGTCACATGCTCTGGGGACGTATGCAATATGAATCTTTTCTTCTCTCTTTTCACATCTGTCCTCCACCGGCCCGTTGTAACCTCTGCTGACAATGACATGCTGCCTGGGCTTAGCGTGGACTGCATTCCCCCCTCGTTCAAACGCATCGGGGTTGAGGGGGATATGAGGGATTTTCGGAGTGTGTGTGGTTCAGCCTCACACTGTCACACAGAGCTATAAAGACATTATAGCTAAACCCTAAGCCACAGCCTATGGAGTGCAGCTTTTGTCACCTCCAAAGGAAATAAAATTGAATAAATTATGAAGTTGCTCTCAAAACTCAGGGGTTTCGGCCTTTATAGGCTGTGTATAGGTGTCATAAAACAAGGTTTGTAGTGCTATGACCGATAAGCATGCATGTATGAGTATTATCAAGATCACTTAATGAGAGATGAATGGAGGGGATTCTTTTTTCATTTCCAAAAAGAAAGGCAACACCATGCAGCTACAAGAAAAAACGCTAAAAAATAAGAGAAAAAAATTGTTAATGTAGATTAGAATTGAAAATATATTCACAGAGGACCAGCATAGTAAAACAATAAAATGCTTTGAAACCAGCCAGACAACCTTAAAGGTGAATAATTACAAAAAGCCCCATCACAGCAGAGCACCAGGCTCTCATTCACTTCATTCATTAGTGGGCTGAGGATGCTGGAAAAAAAATAAGCCAGTGGTTAAAAAATACTGACAAACATTCAGCAGGTTTAAAGACCTTAGATATGACCTTCAAATATGACTATCAGACTCCATATTAGCTTCAGCATGATGATTGGTCAAACGTTGCCTTTACGAGATACACACAGCGGTGATCCATCAAGTCAAACAAATAAAAGGGTACTGCCCCTGTGAGGAGATGCCAGCCACAAAGGCTGGAGATGATCCTCTGCTTCACTCATTTGTCATCCTCAAAACACAAATGCAGTTCTGAACAGGCTCAAAAATGACAGACCAGAAAATCTGAAAGCATTTAAGAATAGAGTTCACATTAGCGAACTACTGAACCATTAGAAGTGAGATTATGAAAAAGCTGACCAACGCAATACATCTCAAAATGCCACAGTCTTAACTTTTCTCACGAGGACGGAGAACCATTTGCAGACATAAGTCCTCACCCAAAGAAAAGCTGTCACTTGGTTCCGTGGTTTAACAAAAGGGAATAACAAAGTGTCTACGCTAAAAGAGATTGATTGCCTCTTGGTTTTGGGCTGGATGTGCCACGGAAGAGAGATTGACAGCTCATTAGCCAGATGGTGATACTAAGGAAGTGCTGGACCGGAGCCTCGGGCTGGCTCAGGCCATGATGGGCATGTTTTGCGGCAGCGAGGTCTTTACAAAAGTCTGCTGAATGGTCAAATGAGATGTATCATTTCAATTTGAAGAGAGCACAAAAGAAACAAACCGGTCAGTTGAAAGGAAAGACGGAGGAGGGAATCAGGCAAATGAAAATGAGGCAGCTCACAAAAGAGCTTGCTTCAAAAGGAACGTTGCACTCTTCTACAAAAACACACAAATTTATCAGTTTTGCATGTAGCGCTCAAATAGAGCCCAATTGCTAAATACAAATCATAACGAATAACATTTTTCTAAATTTGTGAATGCACTTCCTAAATAAATGCATCTTTCGACACTGCTGTTGAACCAGAAGCCTCACCAATCTCACTCTACCTGACAGACCAGCGTCTCTAGCCTGTGCGTCTTAACAGCTTATCAGCCTTATATATTCCTCTTGAACCGTGCTTGGTTTTCTGCAACTCAAAAATGCAAGTGGGACAGCAAAAGGTGACATCACGATAAGCCCCGGGAGTTTCCATTTGTTTAGTCTGAGTCACTGAGCCACGGCCGGGGTGACCGACAAACCAAAGGCCACATCAAAAAGAAAACGGGGAGTGACAGAGAGCGTACAGACATGGAAAAATTGGGGATAAATGAAGGGCAGGATCAGCAATCAACAAACCCACAGCACGAAAGGGATGAGGCAATTATGAGAAGAAAGAAAAACAGGACGGTTTCCCAGAATCCACAATATATTTGCAAACGCCCCTATAAGAATTTAACGCCACTGTACACACACGACGCCCGCTGTAACACACTGCAATGATTACCAAAAGAAAAGCTGAGCATGCAGTTGTGGCACAAACTAAAACTGAAAATGGGGGAAACACGAGTTTGGTAGCTGAGAAAGGATTGCGAACAGAAAAAGTGAGAGCACGCTGGGAAAAGGAGGAAGCAACAGTGTGGGAGTAGAGCGCAAAAGAGGGAACAAGCAAGCAATATGAAGAGACTGTGGGAATGGCTGCAACAAATGTATGCTGATGAGTCACAGAGCGGGGCCTGTGATGTGATGGAGCCAGATCTGACAAAGAGATCTGCTCAAAGCACCGAAATCAGCCGCTCTCTGGGATGAACTGTGCCTCGCTGCCTGTGTGCGCACACGTGTGCACCTCCTCAAAGTAAAGAAGAGGGAACGGAGCGACAGAAATGTGTCATCCTTAAAAATATATCAGTTTTCCTGCATCTGACATTCCCCGCGAATATCTCGCATCAAGGCTTGTGGGATTGGAGGGGTGGGCGGGGGTTGTTTTGCTTCCTCTGATCATGTATGATTTATCAAAATCTTGAAAATGAAAGTTGAGCTCAGCCGGCTCTCTAATCAGGACCCTCGCCCCGTTAATCAAAATGACAGCAAGATTCTTCAAAGACTAGGAAATTCTGCCTGCCCCGCCCAACCTGCCTTCATCTCACCCAATCCGCATCCAGCCAAAGACACCTCTGGTCTAATAGGTGCTCGTTGGACCTTTATTGTGACGAAATGGGCAGTAAATAGTCTGTTCTGCTTAAATAACACCACAGCTATGCTGAATGAACGGGCAAGCTTGTGTCTGTAAGTGGATGTGACACTTCAAAGTCTACTCAAATGTCACACTGTAAACTGTTGGAACAATAATCTGAATTTAAACAGGACTATCTAGAAGCTGCTCAGACAAACATACATAAGAGCTCAGAGTTGGTTTGGTGGCCATTTCAACATCAACAATATCCCAAAATAAAGTTAAAACATTTCCCTAATGCTTCAAAATTCTAATAAAGCAGTCTGCGAGGGACACTGGACCACAGTGTCTCCTCCATAAGCTCTTTTCTTTCTTCCATGTGGGCTGGAGATTATGCATGCAGAGCAGGTGACGGTTTTTCCATCTATGTTCTTGCACATCACTTGGGAATTGATTTTAGCCTCAGGCAGATAGGATGGCAGCAGCCGAGGACAGACTAAAGTGACGGGGGAAAAAATGAGTAGGTGAAAAACAGCTATTCAGGATGCAAGGGGCTTTCTAATAAAACAACAGCACACACCCAGAGACTGTAGACATCTGAAGCACGACTTTAAGTTTGCACAGTTTAGTAAAAACCATCATCATTTGAGCTAAAAAGTGAGAGACTTTAAACAAGTGATCCACAGTCAGCACTATAACATTATAACATGGTATACCATTTATCTTAGCCCACATCCCTGTAATACTATACAAACAGGAGAGCGTCCACTTACCCACTTAGGGATGTCAGGCGGCACAGAAAGTTAGAGAAACTGTTCAAGAAATAGAGTCCGTGTGCAAACGTAGCTGCACATTCACATGTAGTCTAAATGTCTGTAACATTCAGATCTCTGACAAAAGCAACTGAAAATGATGTGACAGAGAGCAGCCTTTTTGGGAGACTGGCTAAATCAATTAATAATTTACAAGTTACAGCTTTAAAAAAAAAAGATTGAACAATGAACTGCATGTCGAGCGTCCAGAGCCATTTCAGTGCGCGGAGACAAGAGTAACTCAAAGCCAAACCATATCATCTGCATGTGTCAGTCAAAATGAGTGTCACCTAAATTCACAGGAATGCAATGCCTTTTTGCCACTGGAGAGGCAATACTCTCTATCAAGTAACTATGGGGGTTAGAGGATCAGTTGAACAGTGGCATGTGAGAAAAACATGGCAGACTTCATTTGAAAAAACAAAACAGAAAGTGCACTAATAAATATTGGACAACAGTCATCAAAAAAAGTACAGGAAGAAAGTACTAAATCCGGTTATCAAATTCATAAGATATGTGTTTCAACCACAGTAAACAGCATTAATACAACATCTTTGTCACTATAAAAGTAAATGAGCTTTAGACAGTGATAAGATGTCCTTTTTAGTGCTATGCCTATAGACAAAGCTGTTACCCTCATAGTCGTTTTGCGTTGTAACACTGCAGCTCAACTGCTGCATGGAGGGGGCAGATTCCTCCGGCTATATTGGTTTACATCTAATATTCAGTCCACTACAAGGAGTGCTGAAGTAGGGGGGCAAGTCAAAGGCGAATAAGCAAGCCAGCTCTTATCCATCTGATCTACCTGCAATATGTCTGTGACGATGAGGAGGGGGGCGAAGCATCAACCCATCAGCTCCATCCTGCATCACTTTGAAGAGCCCAGTTCACCACAACGTCATAAAGACTATGAGAGGGGCACGGATCGGTACAGTGATACAGGGAAGCGGTACTTTAGCAGCACAAACACAAACAGAAAGTAAACAGCTGACGAAAATCAGACCGAGGGTGGGAAAGTGACATCACTTTTCGAGAGCTACTGGCAGCAGTGCAGGACAGGCAGGTGTGGGATGAGCTCAAAAAGAGACGGCCACTTAGGCGCTAAACTACCCCCCTCAGCCTTATCCAAAACTAGTGAGCAAATTAAATGTTGAGTTATGGAGCCCGAGGGACAAATGCTAATGTATGGAGCGTGCGTGCGTGCGGGTGGAGATACACAATAGCTCTACTGGATGTGGTAACGTTAGCCAGTGGACACAACTCTCCAAAAATCACAACTTTACGCATCAATTAAACTGCCCCAGCCAATTGTTCCGAACAGCTGCCACAGTTGTACCTTTTTGTCAATAAAAGGGAAAATCGAGTTTTGGAGTTAATGCTGCAAACAAGCAACCGGTCCCCGCAGTTCATCAAGCATACAGTAGTGCTGCTAGCTAACACACCGGTGATAACCTAGCTGGCTAACTGTAGTGCGTGTTACTGCAGGGGTACAGTTTTCAGCAAGAGCAGAATTTTGGTCAACTCGTCCAGTGGTTGTGCTTCATGTCAGACATCATTTGCAGGCTCGTTACACGTGTGTCTCTGCCACAACGAAATTATTTCCCTCCTCTTTCAGAAGCTACCGTTGCAGTTCCTGTGTTTTTACCTTGCGTCTCCGGGTCTCAGCAGTACCACTCCAAACAAAGCATTGGTATATGACTCGAAGATTTTGTTTCCAATTATCCACCTTATAACCGTTCACATGGGAGCACCCGGCCGGACTCATGACAGACAAAACATTCAGTATGGATTTTTAGGTTTTTAGGCAACGAAGAGTCTCCTGGATAATTCACTTGGCTAGGCTAGCTAGCTCGAACTGTTTGTCCAGAAATGGTTTCCGTTTGGAAATGGGACAATCGATGCAGTATCCAAAATGTTCTTCGGGCATCTGATAAACACCGTCTCTGTTCGCCTAGTAGTTGGTCAGTTCATGCAGTCATTTAAGAGAACAACCATTCCTCTAAGATTTCTACACTACAGTCTCTTTTGACAGTTGCCTTTTGCTTTAACGTTGGCTCCACTTCCACTCTCACGATTAGTTAGCTTTCTTTCTCTAGTTAGCCTGCTAACTCTAAACTACAGCTTCACAATGCCCGCCCAGTGTGAATCATGATTTGCCAACACAAAGAGGTTACGTCACTACGTTCAATCTTGGGTTACGCTGGGACCGCTTGGTTTGAAGCCCTTTATGTGCCGTTTGTAGAATTTGGGACAAGATCCCTCTAATTCATTCACTGAGGCTGTATTGACTCAAACAGCTGTCATTCAACGTAATGCGGAGTATATAACCAATTACACTATTATTGCATTCATTCTGAATGGTGTAAATTGTATAATTAAAATAAAGAATAAAGTCGTGCTTATCCTATTGCACAACAAATCAACACGGTACAATGTAAATTTTGTCATGGCACATCATCTGCAAAAGAGCTGATTATGTTATTTCATCCGATTCACTTGAACTATATTTTAAATTATTCATGATATATGCGTTGCATCCTTGGTGTTTTAAGGTCGTTTAAGGTTCTCGTAGAGTCTCAAAGCACTTTATATGAGAAAAAACTTGACCCCCCGTCAACAGTGCATTTTACGTTTAATCTGCAATTCGCAACATGTGAGACGCTGTTGCTTTAGGAAATTGTTAAATTGGAAGTAGCCGTTTAAAATTGGTGTTTTCGAAGTGAAATATGCACATTCTAAACAAACGCTTCAGTGCAGATGCAGGAAAAAATCACAGTTTGGCACATTTTATGCTCAACTTTGGGTTCTGTCGTAGTTAAATTATGTTTTTCAAATTCAGTTTGTTTCATGATTATTCTTGACACTCATAAGATTTTATTAATGCATGTCAATTGTGACATCTAAAGAGTGTAGAGGAAATATTTTTTATTCGAGCAGGCATAAATACGCCCCATTTTCACCTAAGGCACTCAGTGTCTAAGCGTTTGGGCAATCTTAAGTTTTAGCCTGCCACCTAGTGGACCTATGTGTGCACTCCCTGAAATGAAGCATAAGAAATAACTTCAACGTAAACCTGGCTCCAAGAATAGGCTACGTGATTTTATCTATACATTTTAGCAAATGGGTTTTTAACAAGCCAGAATCTTTGGCCTTAGAGCCCTCAGATTTATGAGATATAAAAACTATAACTCGTATGAACACAAGGCTTTTAGGGGGGGGAAAGGGTGTCTTAACATTTTGGTGCAATAACATCTACAGAAAACACTAGTACTGAGTTCACTTGAAGGCAGTGTAGTATTGTTTATCTAAAGACATTTCAGTTCTATTGGCAGGTAATACTCTGCCAAATGTATATGTTTGCTGTAAATATTGAATATTCAAGATGAGTTTACTCTACATTCAAGAAAATTACGCATGATAGATTGGTCATTGGATATTTTCATCATGATCTTTAAAAAAGAAGACTGAACTTTTCAATCAACAATTTTCAAAAGAGAAATTTGGAATTAGTTCATGCATTTATTTTTATTTAGGTTTATGGTACACAAGTTCACCAAAATGATGATTATGTCTCACCAATAAGATCGTCAAAATCCACGAATGCTGTACACACGTCATATACCTGATGTCTGTTGGGTGGTTTTCAACTCCTTTTGGCATCTTGTCAAATTTATTTTTAAATTACTTTTTAAGTTGAATGAACATAAAGAGCTGATAGAATGAAGTGTAAATGTGGTTTATAAGGTACAGTATGTAGAGTATCTTTATTAAAGTAACAATTTTATATTGTATTTATGCTTTTTAATGATTACAATACAGTTGTTCTAAAATGGAACACAGTGGTCCTTATCCTGCTAACCACCCGATCGTGCTGTTTTGTTAACTAACTTAAGCTGGCATTAACTACAGGGTTTCTTCAAAGCTTGCACGATTTCTTTTCATCAGGGACACCGGCTAAAATGAGATTATGGACCAAAGAGACTAATTTAATGAAAAGAGGATTATCACAGCTCCATGGAAATGAAATTAAGCTCTAAAAAATATTAAGACCCTCACAGAAAATATGATGAGAATGGATTTAATAGTGGAATAATCTATCTAGCTTTCGCAGTGACATGTGTGGGTGTGTATAAAATCATCGATCTATCTAATAATAGGTAACACTATCTATCTATCTATCTATCTATCTATCTATCTATCTATCTATCTA